GAGAGCCCTGGGGCCATGGAGCACAATCCTGTGCATAGCTGCACCTGCCTTTCCTGGTACCAATTGCAGGGGTATTTAGAACACATGATGTACTCTATGATGCCTTTTGATTTGCCTCTTAATAATGGTGACCACTTATTTTATCATCCTTCTTTGTTGGTGTGGGAACTGGCTGGAGTCTATCTGTTCAATGCCTGAATCATAATTTCGTGAGAAGTATCTGTACTTTATGAACAAGTTCCAATATCTTGCAATACTTGTTTATTTGCATGCTTCTCATTCCAATAAGTCTAGATATTGCTTTGATGATGTTGGTTTCATTTAGCACTGCATCTTGTAAATTCCAAATGTGAAAATTTGCCTCTCATATTCATGTAGGTTCTTCGGAGGAGTAGAGGATCAGTTAAGCTTCTTAATGTCTCCAATGAGCTAGCTGAGTTGGTCCGCCGTCCTGGTCTTAAAACATGGAAGGTTAGCTTTGCACTGAAAATTTAGAAAATTTCTGTAAATGGAGTCATTGAATTTTGATTATGTTAATGTGAAGGAGGTTCTTAGCATTGGTCATGTTAAATTAGTAAAATGGCTAAACATTTTGAACATATGGAAGAATGAGGATATGTATGCGACCTTCTGGAGTGATGTTTAGAAAATTTTACTTTGTAGATGCTGTATAGACATAAATATGCAATCAGAAACCTATAAAACGATTTAATAGTGATGGTGCTTGACACTGGAGACAAAACAATCATATAAAATATACATGGAAAATCCAAGGAAGATATGAATGGGAAAATTGTGTTGGGAGTATTTAACACCATGATTTGAATGGACAAACTGGGTTTTTTTTCAGCTGATGGAAAATGTTGTCAATAGTCCTGCTTGTTACGATCTTCTATGGTCTTGTATTTCTAGCAATTGTGCATATATATTTTTCATAGGCATAATTACCTAATGGTAATTCCTACTAAACCAGACTATTTCATATTTTTATTGCCTCCACTTGATTTTTTTTAAATTCATGATTCCTGTTATAAATTTTTTTCTTCTCAATTATTTTGTCATTTTAAGTTCCTTTTTTGCTTTGGATAAGCTTTTTGTAAGATTTTGAATAATTGTTTTATTATGCTGGCTGAAAACTTCTTAGACTAGACATTTTTTCCATCTAAGTTTACAGATAAAAGATAAAGGTCTTTGGCTAGCTTCTTATAAAGATGTACCCAAGTACAGGAGGAATGTGGTTTTACCTAGTATGTTTCCTTCTGGACAAAGTTATGGAGAGACTGTTATATCCGGTGATCTTCAAAAGAAGACAGAGATTGTTGGAAGTAACCCTGGGGAAGAGAAAGGTGAGAGAATGAGTCATCCAGAAAATGTAGGTACACAGTGCCAAACCATGTGTGAAAATTTGGAAAAAATTGCAGCACCAACTGACACTTACCAAGCTGAAAGTAAACCAGAGGAAGTTTCCAGCAAAATCGTCTCCAGTGAAAAACTTGATGGTGATTCTGAGGAAATTTCTGGATTTCCACTTGAAAACTGCATGAGAATACTGCCTCATGATCAAAATACTGGAGCCTTTTTCATTGCTGTTTTCCAGAAGCTTTCTCCATTGCAGGGTAACTAAGGATCTGAGGCTTTGGCATTTGCTTATGCTTCACATTATGTACAAAAAAATATTACTAGTACTTCCCTCTTTTTGTTATCACTTTATTGCTATTCAAAAATTGCTTAATGAAGTAATGTTTCTTCTTGCAGTGTTTCCGATTAACCTTGTAAGACAATCAACTGAAAGTAGACACCATCCCTCAGCTAAGATCAGTGAGAATCTCGATGATGAACCTAAACAAGAAATAAATTTATCTAATGTTCAAGATGAGCACAACAATGCTGCTGCTGCTTTAGCAGGTTCTACTGTTGATATAGCAGTCAAGCAATCTACGGATATATCAGTAAATGATGCTGTATGTACCAAAGATGAAGGTTTCGTTGAAGCAGGAGTGTCAAACAATAAGGAGATTGCCCCAGCTGAAATAAAGGAGGTAAAGGGAAAGTTACAAACTCAAGGCAAATGGAGAGGAATTGATCCTGTTGTATTCTTCAAAAATCAAACAATTATTAATAGTATAAGATCATTCTATGGCATCTCAGAATCATTTCCACTTGAAGGTCATCTTGTGACTCGGAATAGTGATTCTAATCATGTGAAGAGGATATACTATATATCAAAGTCAGTTCACAATATTCTACAGCTAAATATCCAAATTGGAGAGCGACTAAAGATAACATCTGTTGGTCTTAAGATTTTTGTAAGTGCTATTCTTTTTAGATGCTTTTGTTCCTTTTAGAATTACATATATAATAAATTCTTCATGACATTTCAGAAATACTGATTAATTCGCTAAATCTCTAATTTGATCCTTTTCCCTTTGTGAATTGTCTATTTTGTTTATACTCCAGAGAAACCAGTGTTAGTGTGCATGAGATGTTGCATTAACATATTGAGATTACTTAATTATGAATTTTGCCTGTTCATATAGGCACTCACACTTGCAAGCCTGCATAAATTTGCCACCGTGTGTCATTTTGAAGATGATTCTTGCTTCATGTTTATGATTTTTTTGTACCACGTTATAGTGCAGTGTGTTTGCCCTGGTACTGGTTTCTTGGTTAGAAAGAGTTTTGGCTTTCTTTGTATGAGTTCAGTTTAGTCTGTGACTATTCTTATATCACCATTAGTTTGTGTTAACATGCACATGTAGCTGCTATCTGATAGAGAAGCTATGAAGCCAACTTAATCCTGATCTCTTTGCTCCATCCAACTTAATCCTGATCTGAGCTCCAGTAATTAGTCTAGTTCCTCTATCTAGAGAGTAGGTCCAACAGGGGCAACACATTAGTGTTGAGAATAAAGTATAAGCTCACGAGTAAATTTGCTACATGTATATATTTGCTTCATTAGTTTGATCAAGTATTAATGTTAAAGTTCCTTGTAATGCTTATAGCATATGTTACATGGTTTTCTGTCTTACCCACCAATACAGGAGCGACAAAAGTTAAATGATGCATCATCACCTTGTTCTTTCCGGTTGTCATCAGAAGGATTGCCGTTGCTGCTCCCATATATCAGCAAACAGATCTTATGTGCATCATTAGCTGACTTCCAGCACCTTCTACAGTACCGGACCATAAAATTTGCAGATTTTGTAGATGCTGGTTTTGGTGACAAGGTATCAAGTTTGATATCAGGGTGCTGTGTCATAATTCTGAAAGAAGGTAATCCTTTAATGAACTGATCTTCTATTCTTGTTCCTGGACATGGCCCCCCCCCCACCCAGTCTTATACTACTATGGCATCCTCTGGTTACAGGCGATCAAACTACCGATGACATTGTGGTAGATGCCTCGACGATTGCTATAATTTGCTGGAAAGGCAAGACAAACCTGAGCATCTTGCTCTCCCCGGCCGATGGTCAAGAACTTCTTGAAAGACTCGCAGTGCGTTTTGGAAGCTGGCCAAGCACTTTGTCCGAACAACATGAGGTTGCCGATATCGAAATTGATGAAGTGGAGAACTTGAGCACTGGAAGTATGAAGGATTATGATGCAGTTGATGAAGACATTGCTTCCTAACAGGATAATGGAGATGCCTGGAGCGTTGGAGCAGCAGATTACTGTGGATTAAGCAAAACTGACTCCTGTTCCACTAATGGCTGAGTTTTGCATGTTTTAGGCACAACAAGGCCATTGCAATTAACCACACAGTTTCAAGAGTCCTTGAGACTTTTGCCACTTGCACTCAATGCGCTTTATGATATGTATTCCATTATGTTGTTAAACTTATAAGATATAAATTTGCTATTGCAACATCCATCAATTAGTTCTTGAATCTGAATTTTTTTTTACATTGAATGGTTCAAGCCATGAAGGTTTTGCAGGGACAGAGTTCTATAGCTTTGTGATAGTGTTCATCAATTCAGTCCTTGTTGTGGTATTGCGTCACTGGGGATTATTGTAACACTCGGTGATCTTGAGTAACATTTGTCTTGAAAACAAGCATGCATGTGTCAATGGCATGATTGGAGATGATCTATGGCTTCCTCGGATGAAAACTTAGCTGATAAGACCCTAACGTTTATCATAAAAGAAATAAGAGAAAATGGGAGGATCGATCTTTTTGGGTTTGTTAAAAAATTAAATAATATTTTTATAGATAATCGAAAAGAATCTGTTATATTCCTATTTATAGAATTTTGATTTTAACTGAACTAAACAGATTTAATAAATATGTAGAAAATAAAAGGATCCTAATAGTACTTGATGATGGACATCTGGAAGAGGATGATAGTGTTGGCGTTGAACTCCTCGAAGCTCTTGTCAGAGTCTCCACACCACCTTGGAGGGGAAACACCTTGCCGTGGGCGATGTTCGCGAGGAACTCATTATGACGAGGAAGCACAAGGCTGAGAAATTCTCTCCTTGGAGTAGTCGAGAACATGTGAAGGTTTTCCTTGCGCCTTTCAGTGGTAAGTCATCGTCATTCGATTAGTTTTTTTTATTTATTTTTTACGAAGGATAAAAGGTAAGGCAGTCTAGAAACTTGTAATATTAAATATTTAAATATCTTAATATTCGTACTATTATATTTATATTTTAAAGATGTCAATGTTATTTACAGTAAGTTAAACGGTAGTCAAGTACTGTAATATATATATATATATATATATATATATATATAGACTCACATTTTTGATATTTTTCAATAGTATTCCTAATTCAAAGACTATCCAAACAGTAGCCCGTCCTTCTCCATTCCGCCACCGCCTCCTCTCTCCTCCTTCCCTTTTCTTCTCCTCCCTCGCCCCCCTTCTTTCCTATCGCCCACCCTCTCATTCTCCTCCTCTCCCTTCCTTCCCCGTCGCTGGTCCTCTCCTTCTCCTCCTTTCCTCTTCTTTCCTGCTGCTCTCCCTCTCCTCCTCTCTTCTCCTTTTGTGCCACCGCCTACCCTCTCCTCCTCTCCTTTTTCTTCCCCCTGTCTGCCCTCTCCTCTCCTTCCCCTCCTCCTCTCTCTCCATCGACAGCAAGACCTCATGGTGGGAGCAAAAGGCAACGATAATGAACAACGTAGGTGATTGCGATATGACAGAAGTGACGACAACTGTTGGGGAGGGGGCAGTAAGGGAGAAGCGATGGTTTGTGTAATTTTTGAATTAGGAATACTTTTAAGAAAATTCAAAAGAGGGGATACTGTTTGGGCAATATTCAAAATCACAGGTATTTTTTAGCAAAATCGCCA